TATTATTGCTATTTGTTTGACACATTTATCTCTCTTTATTTAGATGATCACAGTTCATATCCCACTACCTTTCTCTTTTCCTTTTCCTTCTCCTTTACCTTTACAATATTTCTTTTCTACTTGGGATGTGGTTGTCCAGTTTTGGTGCAATGCAGTTTCCCAATCTGTTTTTTTTTTTATATACCTACCTTAGAAACTGTAGATATTTATCACCTGTAACACTTTTCACTGTAATATCTACATACATCCCGGTCTATTAGCCCAGTCTGCTGATGTGAAGCTGAAACAGAATACCTGGTTACAGAAACAAAACTCAAACTTGGATGCTTGTGTGCATTTGCACTTCTGAAAGTAAGCTCATGAGCACTGGTCCTGGGTGGTATTAAACAACCATCTCCTTGGGCCCAGCCTGGGACAGTTGCAATATTAATATTTTGTATTTTTGCAGCTCTTTCCAGTTCAAGACCTCAAGGTACATTAAATGTTAATTAATTCAGCCTCTTGGTCCCAAAAGGGGCATACAAGGATCGAAATTAAGCAACATCATAAAGACGATGGCAGGGCTTGATGAGAACTTCAGATCTTCTGCTCCTCAGTTGTTAGCACTAACTAGAGGGGATAATGCTTGCTCGGGTAATTCAGAATGGCTGGTCTGGCTCAGCTTTCTTTTCCCCGCGAGACTCAAAAAGCTCTGTTCATAATGGACTCAAATCTCCCTGATTCAGGAAGCCCAAAATTCATTTTCATATCTGGGCCTCCCACTTGTAATTGCAAGGCTCATCTAACTGCTGCTCTGTCTCTGCTCTGGCTAATTACTACTGCATTCCTGCCTGCTACTATGCATCGGCTTTGCAATGCTCCCTCTTCTTTCCACTTGAATTTGCCTTAATACACATCCCTTCACTCTGTTAAAGATGCCTCCTATACACTTTGTTTTCAACACTTCTCAGCTGCTCTCTTCTATCAGCTTTCTTCATTTATGCTTAGTGTCTGCATCCTTTTCTGATTTAAGACCTCTTTTTACCATCATTTTAACCTGCTCTTTCATGGCTCTTACTTAACTCGCACTGCTGCCCTCTTTCTTCTTCAGTGTCAGAGTGATACACTTTCCTCATTGTAAAGAGAAGAACCCCACTTAACAAGTGACGTGGTCCCTGTCTGCCCTCCTAGACCTTCCCTCTAGTTCACCTTAAATCACCTTCACCAAACTATTTACTTATGATTCTTCTCTGACAATTCAGGTTCACATCTGCTCATTCCACTCAAAAAACACTTCTCACTTAAATCTTTGTAAACCTTCTCCTGGCCAAAGCCAGTACAATTGCTTCATGTGGTTGATTAGTCATCAACTTCTTAAGAGATAATAAATGCTCCTTGATACCTTCCTTAGTTCTCAGTAACTTGTCACTTCCTCGCTTTCTTCCCTTGATCATTTCCTCTTAATATTATTGCCATATCCTGAACAGCTTAATCACTTTCTTCTTTTCTTCATTTCTTTTCCCAGCCTTCTTCTAGGAGATCTTATCTATCCACATGACTCTAATAACTGTCTTAGCACTGCACTCTTTTGTCTAATTCCATCAGCTTACAGACCTCAGTCTCAAGCACTGGAATTTCCTTAGGAACAGAAGACATAGCTATCATGAACTGAAAGGCAGCTGTAGCACCTTTCAGGCAGACATTCCATAACCAAGGTGTAGCTACTCTTACCTTCCTTGACACTTCAGCAGTTTCCTCTACAGCCTTCCTGACCTTCATGTTGTTCTCTTAAGAGCAATCAGAATGGTCTTTGGCTACAAAATTCTCATTATCTTAGTTCCTTTTTATCCTACCTAGTCTTAGTGACCTCAAGGTTAAGCAACTGATCTAAACATCTATCTGTGGCATCTATGAATGGTGAATAAAGAAAAGTGAGTACACCCAGAGGTAGCTTTTCTGCCCACTGTTTATGTCACAAAATGAGACGCACCTCTTTTGACAGAAGAACAATAATCTCAGGCTATCCTTACCTTCCAGAGGGATGTAATAAGGCACTTCATTCAATGTCTCTTTAATAGTTTCCTTGACACAGCCACAAATTCAAATATACATCCTCTGTGCTGCACCAGTGGAATCAGCCTTTATCATTCAATTGTTATTCTGATTCACAATTTGTCTCTATACATAGAATGCTATATCTACATTAGCCTGTTACACTTTCATCTTGTCCCTTATCATCAACCTTCACTTCTAAAGCTCGTGGAGGAGTCTGGCATTCTCTCCCTTTATTTATCTGTTTCTGATTGCAACCATTCATGTTTTTTTTTTTTTTGGTCTGAAACTTAAATTGCAGGTTACATGGGGATTATATTCCTTATCAATTTTCAAAGCACATGTCATGATGATCCTGATTTTTGTTTTAAATCTCTTGGTACCTTTGTAACCAGGATAAATATTTTTAATCATTTGAGTAGTGATTTTGCTGTGTGGCAGACTGAATTTACACATGGATGTCACTGGATTCCTTCTCCCCTGCCTTTTACATTTTCTCATTTCTGTTATTGTAAGATTTATGAAAAATGAGAAGCCTGGAGAGTGAAACCTTTTGTCTGCATAATCAACTAGAGCTCATGAGAGCTCACAGAAGAGTACTTTCAGGGGTAGAGGGACTGTCCTGTCATCCTCATCACTATTTAATCTCTTGAGCATCCATTTGAGCTGGACAAGAAAGCAAACAATACCAAAGCTTATTTTCTGCAAAGAAAAGTAATTTTTCATTTTGTGAGGCAGTGTTACATAAAAGCTTATTATTCTGTATTACTACTGCGAGATTCACTTGGAATGTACCTTCTCTTTCCAATTCTACCAATGGACAGCCTTGGACAATGTTTTCACCATTCTAGTGCTCACTCTGTCCTCATCTGTAATTTGACTTCCAAAAAGTCCCCAGCCATACCAGCCAAACAAAAAAGAGTAAAGCCCAAACTGCACTACGAGCAATGGCCATTACGAGTCAGAAACGAGTAATTCAGATGCACCATTGTGCCAGTTTTTGGTGAGGGTACAAAGAGAGAGAAAAAAAAAGCTTTTGAAATACAAATATGGGGCTGAAACGACAAAGAGATGAGGTGATTCTTGCTTAGTAAAACTGGGCCAATGCATACAGTATGCTAAACTCACAGGATTAATTCTGGCCTGTGATTAGGAGCATCACACAGGTAGTCAACTACTGAATCTGAACATCTCAACTTCCTCTGCCAGCACAGTACTTTTTGCTTTTAAAGCAGAACTCTCTCACTGGTGGCAGAATATCTGGGGAAGGAAGAATGAGGAATTGCAATGTTAGTGAAACTTGACTAATGCCTAAAAGACAGAGGACTGCTCCATCCATTGGGTGTTGACCCCTTTGTTTTCCCTCAAACAAGATTGCCTCAGTTCATCATTCTAAGTTAGGTAATTGTGTCCCATAAATCCAGATGAATGTGTAGGTAGGTAATCAAACAGTAAAAAGAAACTCACAAAAAGCTAGTGTGGGAAGCAAGTTGATGAATTGAGCTGCCTGCTCAAACTAATCTACATTTTTTCATTAGTGATCACAATTGCTGCGTTTCGATTAACACAGCTTGATTTGACATTTCATCAAGATTCGTGGAGACCTCAACAATGATTTTGTCACCCCAACATACTAACTGAACTGGTTCCAGATCAATAGGGAGTCATTTTCAATTCCACTTTTCAAATTTGCTACAGCCTCAGGGAGTGTTTTAACCCACTGCAGAAATACGCTGGACTATATTAGTCTAAATACGAACAATTTTTTGTAAAGCATAAACAGGGACCAAAACATATATGGGAAAATGCAGAAAGAATGTCGCACCCTTTCTCTGAATTGAATTACTTTCCAGGTGTACTAAGGATTTGTCTTTAGGTGAAAAACATGAAAAACACTCAGATTGTGGTATGACTTGAATTCCAGTGCAGTAGGTGTTTCTGAGTAGTGTGATAAATGCTGCTTTGGTTTGGGTATTGTGTGTTTAGATAAATTCATCCCCTTCCAAAATGGTTTAAAGCCCAACAGCTGCTCCTGAATGGCCCTTGTGTAGACAAAACCTTTGACAGACACATTTTAACAGAACGTAGTTATAAAAATGTAATGATAGGCAAGCTAAGAAACACGTATTATGGTTAATGGGGAAGCCTGAAAATTAAGGAATGGTGCTGTGCAAAGAGTAACAGTGCCGTACAAAGGAGTTTTTGAAACTAAAGGGACTGTCATGACTAATTTATCATACATACAGTTGTTTTTCTATACTCTGGGAAAGAGCCATCATTTTTCTGGAAGTTCCAGTATTTTGGGTCAAACCTTCACACATTTTTCTTTCAGAGATTCTGTCCTCCTTCCATGCTCTCTTCATGCCTTGCATTGAGATCACAGTTATTAGACTACAGTCTAACTAATTACCACTCACTAACATTCTGTTTTCCACTCTATCAACTTACTAAACTGGTGCACCTATGTCATTCAAAGAACATCAGCCCACCTGACTAACCCTAGAATTTGTTTTATAACAACCAACACATTGTCTTTTTCTCCATTGCAATCTAGCTTTCTGCTAGCTCAGAGCATTCCTAGGAAACTTGTCAGTGCTACCTTCATCCCTGCCCTAAGGTAAGGGGATATGCTGCCCTTCATAATGCATTGGCACCTGCCCAAAGCAGTTATAGCTGCATATCTAGACACCAACTGTCTGTAAAGTGTTCTGAACTACATGTGCAAGCCATTCAAGCACTAATTGCACAATCTTGTACTTAATTCAGAAGAAAGAAATTCCTGTAATGTAGAAGTAATGGGTTAAACATAGAGCATTCTTAAGTGGCTCAGCTATACAATAGAGAATAATTAGTTATCCATAATAAGGCAGCTTAATAGTATACTAAATGACATTCCCCCACATAGGGTGTAATTAGTTTCATGTACTTGACACATTTAAGCGAGATGTCAGACTGGAAGATTATTATTGTTTTTTCACATCCAATTTTTAGTTAGAACTAGTTTGCCCGTGCATCCTTCCACTCACTTGAGGATTAAGAGTCCATTATTTTGGGAATGAGATTCCAGTGTGACATTTCTCATGCTGCTGTTAATTTTCTTTCCTGACCCCTTTTCAATGCAGTGCATGTGGTTCTTACTATTTAATTTATTAAATTTGACATACCAAAGCACTTGCTCAGATTGGTCTGTTTGTCAATGAAGACTTTAGCAGAGATAACATTTCCAAAAGGCATGAACATCTGCAGAATGTCCTGGTCTCCAAATTCCTGGGGGAGGTGGTAAATAAAGAGGTTTGCCCCTTCTGGACCTTTAGGAAAACAAACAAATAAAAAAGTATGAAAATGGCTATTACAAGTGCTACGTTTAATCTGTTTTTCCATAGTACTTACTGAAGGTGATGGTCAGAAAGCAAAATTTCACTTTGCAACTCCGAAGGAAGAAAAGTAAGTGGATCATCAAAGGAATAGAGCTGAAATGGAGCTCTTTAGAGCATCCTATCTTACAAAGTGTTCACTTGATACCTCTACTACAAAAGAAGTTAAACTGCAGAACTCTTTCTTCAATTTACTCAAGTGTCTTTCAGTAAAATTAGGGTTAGGAAAGCAGGTACACAATGTATTACTCTCTCACAATACTCCAAGATCTGCACAAAGAGCCACCTGCTGCCTCAATCACCTACATGGGTTTGTTGGTTTAATTCTCCATTGCAGGAATTTAGGGAAACACAACCAGCTGAACTCCGATTGGAGCCTCGCAGATTTAAACTAAAAGGGCAGGAAGCTGGTGGGAATGGGAACAGAAAGGGTAACACAAAGCAAACGTTTTGACTTAGAAATCATGGAAGTCAGAGAGAGAAAGATGCTAAGAACTAAATAGCTTGCCCTTTTTTAAAACACAAATACTCCTGAGAAAGCTCGACCTCCTGGAAGAAACTCTGTAAAATAATCATTTTTAATAAGTTCAAACTGAAGTTGCTGGGTTGAGATTAAAGTGGCTTTATACAAGTTGAGTTTGAAAAGAAAGGTACAGGAAAGGTGCTTTTGAATATTTTTCTTATAGCCTATGTCTGAGATACACGTTATCAGTGCTATTGGTTTAAGCATGCCCCCTAGCAATAATAGTGTTATTTTTTATTTATTCTCAGCTCAGTTTTTCTTTTATAGTCATATACTGGGAATGAGCCATTAATGTGACCTATGATGCAACCAGACACGTGGCCCTCCTACACAGGCACTGGGAGCACAAGAGAACAAACATTTCTGATAAAAACATGTATAAAGTAACTCACTTAAATATTCCCTTGCTTAATGGAACCTAAGTGTGTATACGATGGGATGTCTGTGGTTTCAAGATTGGAGTTAGAAGCACACACTGCATTCATGGAGTACCTACAGAAGCAGTCACTGAAGACCCACCTCTCATAACAGAAGAACCAGGCTGCTGCCCTCAGTCAGCCTGAAGTAAAAGGCTGCAGTGTTTGCCCAACATAAGATTTAAATGGCTTATAAAAAGTTTTTTAAAAAAGAAAAAAAAAATGGTGGTGGTGGTGGGAGAAAAGAGGGAAAAAGAATTTCACCTGCACCTTATTTCTTCTGACATAAAATAAATTACAATTTCAAAAAAACTTTTTTTTTTTTTTTTGTTTTTACAATATTATTTAAAAATATTACTATTTTTTTAAATAGCAAGCAAAACTTGTTCAACAATGGTTTACAGCATGTGCACGAGGCAGTTCACTGTGCTTCAGCACTCAGTACTGATACTGTATTTTGCTTTGGTATTTTGTTATCCTTGACCACTCTTCACCATGCCATGAGAAATCATGGTTAGAAGTAAAACAGAGTTGTCAGTATTGAAAGATGGAATTTATTCACTTTAACTTAACCCCTTACTTACAGAAACAAGGCATAACAAAACAGGCTGTGTTTTTAAAAAGACACTGTCTATTCAAAAAGCAAAAACAAGCCTACACTTGATAGCTCATATAATGACAAAAACAAACAGAAGAAAATCAAACTGTCCTTCAGTGAGTATCTTAGAATGACACCGGATAAACAATATCTGGTGTCAAACAGTCCATTGTCACAGACCAATGTGAGTGAGATGAAGGACAAGAGCACAGAACACAACAAAATTTGGAAAAATAAATAAATAAATAAACAAACCAACAAAAAGCTTCCATTTACTACAATCCAAGCTTTTAGCAGTAAATGAAACAACAAATTTAGAGAAAATATTCATTTTAACTCCACAGTGTCTTCATATAACAACCAGCTGTGGGAATGACGAATTTATCTTCCTAGGAAACACCACATCCCATAACAGTGCAAGATACGATATTAAACGAGGATAAAAATCTTTCTCTTGAGGATATTACAGTGGGTTTATTTCCAAAGCTTATCTCTGGCAAGAGCAGTAGTGGGAACACAGATACAATCTTAGAAAGCATGCAATATTTTCCTGTCCTTCTAGAATTAGCTGTAATTTTGGATGTGAGAAGGGATAGCAATGAAAACAGAAGCAAAACCCCAAAATACCTGAGTACAGGAGAATGAAAGAGGGGAAAAGGGTAACCTCATGTTACTAAACATTTAGTAATTACTATTCATTTATTCTTAGCAGCAAACTCCTGAGGTTTGTTTTGCTCTACTGGTGCGGGGAGAGGGGCAATCACTCCCTTAAGTTGCATCCCTGCAAAACCCAGAATTAAGCAAAGAACCATTCAGAGCAAAGTCAGATCTGACTCAGAAAACTTAAACCTAATCAGATTAAATCCATTATTATGGAAAATGGAAACCAGTGCAGAGCGTGAGTGAGGGTCACCTGTAAAGGGATGAATTTTGCTACTGATGCCTTTTTACGCAGCAGAGCTTTTAGGGCAGAACTGTCAGTAAGGTATGGCTGAAAAGAGAGATGGTAAAAAAGAAAAGAGAATTACAGTAGAGATTGAAAAAATGAAAAAGACTAATCAGGGCAGGAGAAAGAGTAAACTTCAAAGACAAGGCTATCTGAGATCTATCGTTGAGCCACTGTGAAGAAGTAAACCCAAGGCATGGCTGTGAGAATGCCAGATTGTCTTAGAATCGTAGAACCATAGAAACATAGACTGGCTTAGGTTGGAAGGGACCTTAAAGATCATCTTGTTCCAACCCCCTGCAATGTGCTGGTTGCCCCCCCACCAACTCAGACTGCCCAGGGACCCATCCAACCTGGCCTTGAGCACCTCCAAGAATGAGGCATCTGCAGCCTGTCTGGTCAGCCTGTTCAAGCACCTCACCACTCTCAATTGTCCTAACATTGTCAGATTGTGTAAAAAATTGGTATCCCTCATGGAAGGCCACAATGAGGTCTCCACTGAGCCTTTTTTTCTCCAGGGTGAACTAGCCCAGCTTCCTCAGGTTGTCTTCAAAGGAGAAATGCTCCAGTTCCCTGAGTATCCTTGTGGCCTTCTCTGGACCCACTCCAACAGCTCCATGTCTTTCTTGTGTTTAGGGCCCCGTCAGTCCAGATGAGGCCTCATGAGGGCAGAGCAAAGGGGGCCATTCCCCTCCCTCTCCCTTCTGGCCTCCTTGCATCTTCTGTTGATGCAGCCCGGGATACTGTTGGCCTTGTGGGTCTTCCAGGAAATACCTCACGCTTGGTTGAGCATGGCTTACCCTAAAATGGGCAGATGCTTACCTTCCTTCTGGCTGCCCGCGGCGCTTTGCTGCTGCAACAAGCTCTGGCTGTACAAGGTGGGCAGCGCAGCGGCAGCGTACTGCTGGATTCCTGAGTAGGCCTGGGTGAGCGCGTCCATTGTGCCGGCCGTACCATTCGTCAAGCCTGTTGCGCCGAGTCCTCCGTTCAGGGCCGCCATACCTGAGAGCATTTGAGCAACTTTACAAAAAACCCAACAATAGAGAAAAGAAATTGCACTTGTTCATTAGTGCTTTCCGAAAGTCGTTGGTATTATATTGACACTGACAAAGACGGCAGTGCATGCAGCTCGGCGTGGCACCAAATGGGACTGAAAACAAAGAAACACGACTTTGGCATCAGGATCACTTCAGCACAATGGTTGCACAGTCAAACGGACTTACATGCAGCCTGCTACTGGCAAGTACTACAGCTCTGTGCCCCCCAAACCCTCTCTGCCCATCAACCCTCTTGCTTCTTGGGGTGTCCAAGAGCAGGACCCGTTCAACCTCCATCTTCATGAGCTGACCACTTGAGAAGAAGCATTCTGGGAGAAAACCCACACTCTCTGGACCGGTCTTTATCAACAGGGATGCTTTGCTCATACAGAGTTAATAGAGAACCCTGATTCACAGCGTTTTGAAACAACCATCCACACAGCTCCAGGATTTTTCTCTTCGATTTCTGGTCAGAAAATGGATGGTGATGCTTTGCATTTCCATTTTCCTCCCCCAGCTACACTTGTAAGGGCAGAATGGATGAACAACAGTGCATCTGTAGCGACTGCAAGCGCTTCACTCAAACCAAGAATCTTTTACAAAGAAACAAAAGTGTTTGGTTCTAGCAATGTGTTTCTTTACTCCTCACTGGAAGCAGAGCCGCCTAATTTTTTTCTTCAACACAATTCCACATCCTGATAAATAACAGGTTAATTTGACTGGGATGACTGCCAAGGAGGAAATTTTGGACTGGATTGCTAGCTGTGCATAAAATGGCATCCCTCATCCATTCAGACAGCACTGTCTGCAAAAGAACTCCTGGACTACAGCCTCTTTTCATTACTTCTGTGCATTCTCATGGCTCTGAGATGAGCCACAACAAAGTTAACAACATTAACATTTATTTTTTTCCAGAAATTCCAGAAAAAAATTATTTTTCCCCTTTGGCAGTCAAATGGGTAGCAAGATTCAGAAACCTGCTCATCGCCCACATTCTGACTTCTGTCATACAGAGAGTAAGTGCTCAGCAGGTCTGAGAGGCCACCTTTTGTGTGTGATTACTACACTGTGCTCTCCATTTTTTAGGCAAACAGCTCACAAACAACTTATTAGGGCTTAATCAGGCCCCTCAAGGCACACTAAAACAGTCACCAGAAAAATGGGGCACCTGGAACCACCACCGATAGTTTCTTAGTCATTGACTGTGTACAGTTTCTGTTGGCAAAATGACGGGTGGAGGTAATTGGTGGAGTTGTACTGGGACCCAAAAGATAGGAATATTGAAAAAAAAAAAAGAGGGCTTAACTTCAGAGCAACAATAAAGGGCTTCTATGTAAATGGGAGAAAAGTAAGGAAATTAAGCAGAGGACACTTTACAGTGAATGAACAATTAAATCTATTACATTAGGAAACAATCTTCTTCAAGGGAAGTGGTATAAACCTTATCACACGAGTAATTTGGAGATAGAAAGAATACTGGAGGGAATTATCCTGAATTGACAGAGGAGGATAAAGATGCTGACCTACTAGTTTTCTTCCATCTCTCATGTAGATTCAGAAAGTGTATTCCTACGAGTCTCTGATAATCAGGACAATTGCTCAAGTGGCACCTTTCTGGCTCCACCACAGTCTGTGCCAATTAAGAGAACTGTACTGCATAAATTATACCATTTGATATTACTATAATTTGTGTGACTAAACACTTGACAGAGATGTGATATTCTTAGCTTTGCTTAATAAAATGTCTTGCACTTTGAAGATTTCTCTTTCCCCTCCACCCCACTTCAGAGCACTGCTGTATCCTGATAGGAGATACTGGCTGCATCTATGAACAAAAATCTCTGTCAGAGCAGGGCCAGCTATTCCTTGTATAATGGTTCCAAATGTAAAACAAAACCTGCAAACCAATGTAGTTTAAGAAGCACCTTATATCTAAAAGACAGGATATTTTGAAAATGAAGATTCAAACTAATAATGGTGATGAAGCAATAATTTGATTCTGAGCCTGACTTTAACTTACTCCGATGATTCTATACTTAATTTGTGTCATTGCTTGCATGTGTACACACAGCACTGATTGATAAAAAAAAAAAAAAAAAAAGATTTGTATCTCTCCCTTTATTATAGTGTTGAAATAACTTGATAATAGCGGAAGCATTAGGATAACACGTTATCTTGTGTGAGTCATCAGCCTATTAGACAAACATGCTTTGTGTCGCTGTGGGCAGCATCCTCCCCCTTCTTTCACCCAGAATCAATAGCCGCTACCCACCAAATGATTTCAGATCAGCCAGTAGATAGCTCCTGCTCAGCACACTGCTTCTGGGAAGGGCACTTCTACCGCAACCACAGTCTAAATACGCTTCCCTCCTGAGCAAAGCAGCTCTGCAGAAAGATCTCTGATTTTTTTCCTCTTCTCCCTTTTCACACGTTACAAAATCTGCAAGGTCCAGCTGCAGTTACACATTTCTGCCATCTCTCTATTATATCTACAATGCACCTCAGACTGATATTAAACTCTAGTCTTTTCCTCGCTTCTGTGAAATAGTCATTTTGAGTCTCTCATCCACAGCGTTCTACTTTTCTGAGCTACACAGAAATGACAATGCTTGGCAAGTCCAAAGATCTCTCAAAGTGCCTTTCAAGCACTTTCAAATCTGTCACAAATAATTTTATCTCCAATTTACAGATTGGGATAGAAAGGCTAACTGCCCTGGGTTCACATACAAATATTTTGTCATAGCTGTCCAACATGCTGAATCTGTGGTCTTCTTTCTTGATTATTTAAATTTACTTTCCTCAAAGGAGACTGCCTAATGTGTTGTCATTTTTAGATGTTTCAAGCAGAAAAAAAGATGATTGGGTGAATCCCCAAATGTACAAGGGCTGCTCCGAACGTAATGTCTCCTATTTTATTATTTTGGCCCATGACATCAGAGGCAGATGTTGGTGGTACTGCAGTAGAGGTTAAACCTCCCCACCAATATTCCATTACATTTTGTTGCTATGTGACAGATGGCAGCAGAGGGGCAGTCTGACAAAATGGTGTCTGACAAAAAGTGTGTATGAAGCAAAGGTACGGAACTGAATCCCTCTGTGCAGAAAAAAATGGCATTTATTGACATTCATTGACTTGCTGAATGTTTATGGAGATCAAACAGTGGATGTGAGCACAGTAAAGCAGTGGGTGATATAGTTCAGCAGTGGTGACAGTAACATTAAAGACAAGTCATGGTCTAGAAGGCCAAGCACAGCTGTCACACTACAAAATGAAGAGTGTCTTGATCAGTTCGTCTGCACGAATTGGCTATGGCTCTGTTGAAAAATTGTGCTGTGTAGCTGAGAATTTTGTCTATCAAACAGTGTGACTGTGCTTTTTGTTCCTGTTGTAGTTTCCATGGAAATAGATAGGAGGCATTACTTTTGGAGCAATCCATGTATGCACAACTGTTGCTGATCCTTGGAGACATCTGACTCACCATATTCCACTTCTAGTTTTATGACCTCAGATATATTTCTACAATTATTATATAGGCTTCTCTCTACAACGTGAGCACTAGCGGTTTCCAGAGCTCAGCCTGATTTCCCCAGACCCAGCCAGGATCCAGAAAGCAGACTGAATCCCCTTGTGAGCTTAGCCTAGATGTTCTCCCAGTGAATCTTACACACACGGACATGGTTTCAACAGAAGAACATCTCCTTCAAAACATCTGTGTAAACGAACGTGTAAGACCAGTGCAACCTTCTGATTCTTTCTGGGTTTATGCTCAGATCGACTGGTGCTTTGGTCATTTTCATTAATTCTCCAACCAAAAGCGTATCATTGAATTCCAACTTTTCTGCATAATTATTTCAGGAACCTTCAAGACAAAACAATGTTTTGCTCTTGGCCACAGCATGTTGTGAAACATCAAACCCACTGAACTTCGGGTTTCCTGAAGACAGAATGTGAACAACTGGATCAGAAATGGTCACTAGGAAAAGCACTGACTTATCATTAAAATAGACAGGGGAGGTTTTTAGCATTGGGACAATGCTTTGCTATCATCAGTGTCGCAAGCAACTGAAACTGATAATCTGTGCTCTCCTGAAAGGAACACACACCACAACACAGCATATGAGGAAACAGTTTCTCCTCTTTGTATCTCTCTCACAAACTGATATATTTATGTATATAAATAGACAGACATATCCACATACATTTTTTTACATACGAGTGTTATAAACATGGAAATATTCTAGGCACGTACACATTCTGCAATCCATGAAGATTTGGGACTGAAGCCATTGTTGTTATGAGTCTATGGAAGCAGTGGTGGCTTCTAACAAGCTAGAATTTAGTACCAGGTTGTGAATACATCATTAATACTTCAAATGGCACATGCAGGTAAATTCGCACACACAACACCTGAAAATTCTTGTTGAGAAAATGTGAACTCTTAGCTTGCAGCCTTGCAATAAATGCTAAAAGGAGCACAACAGTAGGATTTCCATGTGAAGACAAGAGCTCATAGGTGATTAATTCCTGCTCACTGTTGATGAAGGGAATGTTATCTTGGAGTGCTCCAGTGTGCCTGGGTTCTTAGTATTTGTGGGAGGGAAGCAGTGGGATGCTATCTATATGCTGCTCTTGATATTGTGACCTCTTGAAAATGATGTAAAGCACAATGACTGTTTATCAGGGAAAGGACATTTAATATTTTCTTACTTATGACAGTGTAATTCTCTTATTAAGAGAGCTCATAAGAGGAGATAAGTTAGCTTTTCATGCATGCCATTGTCAGTGGCTTGTTTTAATAATAAGTTAGAATAAGAAAAAAAGCTAACATTGGCATTTTGGGACCTAATATACATACTTTTCTTCAATTGTTCTGAAGTCATCTTTGCTATAAGATTGTTTGTGTGAAATGTGCATGTCCTTGCCAGAAGCAAGATCTGTTTTACACAAGGCCCCATGCAATCACTCATCATTGCTACATGGACAGCCATTAGCCCCCTTCCTTCCCAGCTCCCAACAATGACAACCAGAGATCACAGAACAAAAGGACTGGGTGAGCAGCCAAATAACAGTAACAAAAAGGACATCATGCAGAGCATCAGAGTGAGCAAGTGATACTGAGGAGGACATCCATTCCTGGGGGCACATTATGATGGGTCATGGACTGTCAATGACTAAGTAGATTCCTTGCATTGCTGAAGGAAATGCAAGGAACAACAGCAACTAAAAAAGGGGACGGGGAAATGCAGCTGAACCAATTTCTTCCATTTCAGGCAAAGGTGAAGTCCTCAGAACAGATACAATAAAAAAATTCTTCTTTGGGAAAAACTTGACCGAGGCTGAGAACAAAGATGTTCTAACAGCTACTGCAATCTACTTAGCTTGGTATGTCAGGGTTTAAGATGCCATAGGGTAGATACTCATGTTCTGGTATTACAGCTGACTAATGTCACTGTTTTCTTATACTTGCCAATTAAATGCCAAAAAGTTGCCTTTATTTTAGGAACAAGTATGCTGCTCTCATGTCAATTTGATAAGTCCTACAAACTTTATAAAAGAACTACCTCTGTGGCAAGTGTGCCTCTCTTAGCATGACATTTCTGAATGAGGTTTTGTGTATTGACGTGGTATCTTTTCAGACTCCCAGAATGAAGGAGCCTTTCCTATGACCTACATAACCAGATTCCTTGGTAACATTTCTTTTACCTTTCATTTGCTTGCAAGAAAAGGAATCTTTTTGCAGGGATCCAAAAGACTTCACTTTGCAGAGCAAATTACGTGAAACTTAAAAGACTCCAGAACTGTGTATGTAACATGAATGAAACTAGACCAGCTTGACCACTTGTGCATATAGATTAAAAATAATTGTATAATCACTTTACAATTGGCAGTTTTTGTGGCAAGATTATTGGGAAAGGCTGTCCACCACAGCAATAAATACTCACTGTTTACGGTACCTGCTAGTGCATTAATATTATTCAGTCCAACGGTGGCTCCAGCCAGTCCTTGGAGAGTACCCAAAGAAGTCAAAGAATTCATGGCTGCACCAGCTGTGGAATTAGCAGTTGATGCAGCCACTAAAAGAAAAAAAAAATAGAAGGCAAAATTAAAGCCATATTTTGGTTATGTTAGTTGATCACAAAACAACTTCCTTACAATAATGTTAAATGGAACAACAAGGCTACTTGCAATAAAGAAAGAAAAAATATCAGACCAATAGACCAACCTTGCTCAAAATGTTACTGTTATGACTGTTCACGGAAAGTTGATGAGCCTTGAACTGCAAAGTCTGGATCATAAAATTTAGCACTGTGCTATTTGCAAACAGTAACAGTAAGATTGAGTACAGTCACTTTTTCAAAAGTTTGTCAGCCAGGCGAGCATCCCAGGGTGATCAGCTAACCAGCTGAGATATTGCTACTTTTTAAACACTATCACTGAAAAAATAGAATTCCTTGTAGCAATTTTGTCATACAACAGATTTTTGTCGCAGACCCTTCAAGTAAAATATAAAATCTTCTGTGAGACACTACTCTCCAGTTATGGCTGCAGGACATTGTATGAACACTATTTGAATGCCTGAAGTTTACAAAAAACAAGAATTATGGGACATACACAAGAAGTAACTACTTATTGCAGGCTTTTAGTCTGGTCTATGTATGTAACTAGTCATGTACATGTACGCCACAGATGATACTGTATGCTTCTACCAAAGCTCTGCCAGGGGGAAAGCTGAGGCTCAGATAGATAAAGGGTCTCTGCTGTTATGATATTGAGACAGTTCTGAAGGTGGGAGAGAGATAAATCCATCTAAATCATATGCTTAGGCAGAGAAAGAGGCTCAATCTCTTATCTTAGGAAATAAGGCACCGTACAAATTTCTATCATTTAGGATAGTTGGGATGAATTAGAAAAGCGTCCTTCACCTGTAGAGGGGCCTTAAATAGCCTGCATGAATTAAAAAATTAACTTCCAGGTATATGAAGTTGTCTCAAGTAAATCACACTTACAAAAGCTGAGGAAGTAATTAGTTTTTTAGCTTGTCTCTAGAGCCCCATGTTAGTACAGCAATCGTAAAGACTTTTTTTCTTTTTCTTTAAAAATTGCACTCTGTTCTGAAAAATGAACATTCAAAGTCAGTGTTTTGTTGGTGATCTACTGCATGCACATCATGTCTACACCGTGTTTTTTTGCTCCTATCCATTACTTAGCTGGGAGATGGTTAAGGTGACTTCTATCTTGATGCTCTTTTGAGTTGCTGAACACATCAGAATACCCAGTGAACCCTCAAGAAAGTGGAGTACCTACAGTTTGCAGCATCCAGAAAGGAAAAAGAAGCTGAGGCTAAATTTTCAAACTCTGTGGGTAAACTTCAAAGGCCTAAACTACAAAGAACTCATCTTTACAACCTCAAGATCCACTAAAGACAAGACTTCCCAATGTGGGCCTCAAAGTCCAAAGGACTCTCTTGATGAGAGTAAGGAAAGATTTCCTGACTCTGGAGCATTCCTCGTCCCTACTTCCACCACATCTGCAGTGTTCTCTTGAATAATTTTATATGTTGCAGATGGAAGCAGCTTGGTTGATCAATCACCTTCTGCAAAGCAATAAGCCAATAATGTCTCTGATTAAAAAAAAACTTAATCCAAGAAACAAGTGAGAAAACTCTTTTGTTGGATAATGTGAACACCAGCAGAGAAGAGAAAAAATCAAAGTGGATGAATGTCAGTGAATTCCCTGTGACCAACACAGCTCTGTGTTTCTGTTCATGTTCATTATCTGGTCATTTAAATGAAGCACTTAAATCTGAAGGATCTGATTGGTTATGACTGGGCTGAATTCCATCCATTTCTCTTTCAGAGGATTATATTACTCTTTTCTCTTGATGAAACACATATATTTAAGAAATGAGAGAAATGGGGGCTAGCAAATTGTTTGCCTAAAATTACATTAAAGCTCTTGGGGACAAATAACTCCTGTGAGTGAGAGCCATACGCTTATGGATTGTCAACACATCTGTTGGAGAAGGCAGAAAAATCTGATTAAATCCTCTTGCGTAGCCCAGAGCTCATCGTGGTGGTTCTTATCAGGCTCACTGCTCAAACACGTGCCTTGAGGATGGCCAATATCTGGGGCCAATATTTCTTTTTTTCTTTCATTCTTTCCAAGTTTCTCTATTTCATCAGACAAACACAGAGCAGGTGCCTCAGCGATTCTCCCTTCTGAAGTTGCAATGCAGATTATCTAGCTTGCCTAAATAATGACTTGGCACACAATCAATATAAAATACTAGTTGGAGCATTGAAGAACCTCAGAAATCAGCATTTTGTTGTTGTGGCTATTTCTTCTGCTTAGCAGCTATCTGTCTCACAGATTCACTGGTACAATGGTTTTTTTTTTGACTCTTTGGCCTATTATTTCTTTGAGGAGTAAGAAACTGAACAAATTGTGTGGTTTCCATTATCTTACTGAACATGGGCTGAACAGAAATAAAAGGAGCTCCATTCATTAGGGCACTTGTAAGTGATGGATCCAGCAACTTGTTGGATGAGATATCCTGGGAGACTCTACACCTTCTCCTCTTTTACTGCATCCTGTGCATATGAAGTGAAGACAATGGAGAGCTAGGACATTATTACGAATGGGATCAAGACTTAGAGAGAGCTGAAAATCTGTCACAAAATGCTGCAAAAATCAATAGTTTAAGTAATGTTATTCCTTGTCCTCAAAAAACTTACAGGAAGATGAAACAAAGTCTTCAAGACTTTGAAAGTCTTACAAGAGACATGTGGAGGCTTAGGCCAGCTGAAAGTTTTTACCTTATGAACTCCCAGAATATGCTGAAAATCATCTGAAGACAAGGACTATGCCTTTCTGGTCTTTTGCCCTTTTCTAGTTACTTTCAACTAAAAGTTTTAATGTCTACTGAACCAAAGGGGAAAAAAAAAGAAAAATTACATGCCTTCTGGTAACAGTAGATGATTGCACTATTTTGGGGGAACCTGTATATTTCTCTCATGTCAGCAAAGCTCCTGGGCTCCCAGAACTTGCTCAGAGTAATGGCAAAGGAAGTATGATGCACTGCTGGAACAGCATTATTCTATATTTATGGCTTTTAGTTTTCCACATGACAACACAGATTGGATACCCACAGAATTTATAAATTCATTTTTACCAAGCTCTCCTGGCATCATGTAAATGAAAGGAAAACATTTCACAGCTCTCTCCATCCCCAACACCACCGTATAGCTGCTCTGAATCGAATCACTTCTCAGTGGTGCTTAATTAACAGTAGGTATCTCTCCAGCTACAGACAGCTTGATGTACGGAGCTGTAATGCTGCCAGGAATCCCCTCTTTGTGCTACTGGTGCACCACTATTAAGTGCAACAGTGAGGAAAAGCAAAACACACAAAAAAGTGCAAATCATAGAACACCCTGATTTGGAAGGGACCCATAAGGATCATCAAGTCCGATTCCTATGACTTAGGCTTCTGGAGTCCCTCTGTATGGCACACCTTTTTTCCACAACATATTTTTCTCTTTATATTGGCAATTTTACAGTTGCCTCCTTAAACCTATATATGGCAGGGTGATATACCTAGGGCTGTGTTAAGTGAATTAGCTGATACTGAAGTCAGGGGGAGAGATTCAGCCTGATGATTACACAGTAGCTGCATATACAAAAGGCAGAGAAGAACAGAGCTGCTTTTTATCTGCTGCACCTACCCCCCCCCAACCATTTTAAGCTTTGGATAAACATCAGAACATAACAGATAAGATTTTGTCTGCTTTTTCCTCTCCAACATCAGTCACTGGAATAAGCTGACAGCTTTCTCAAAGAAAGTGTTGCTCAATGAGAGCAGCAGTGTCCAGCTCTAGTGAAGAAGTCATGGGGTTGAATCCTTTGGCTGCTGTTCAAGAGTTCAGGCCAGATGCTCACCTTAACTCCAACTAACTTTAATAATCTATTATATTTGTGAAGATATAATCTATTATATATGTGAAGATATCACAGCTTTGGAAAGAGGTCAGTGAAGACTTGCAAGAATAAAGAACTGTCCAGTGACCTGTAGAAAAGTCTGCTTTGTTTCCTGAAGATACGCTGTGTGCTGGGCAGCTGTTGTTTTCTCCATCTAGGACACATCCAGAGACTTTACAGAACACTTTGGAATCTTCAACCATGAAAGATAAGATTCAAAATGTATATTTAACTATTAGAGACTTAAAGTAGCTTCTTCACTGATCCTCCTATTCCCATATTTCTGAGTCAGCCTCATAACCATCTGCCTCTTTTTTCTTCCAGACTACTCAACCTCAACTTCAGTTTAGTAAATAGCCAGACACTTCCAAATATTATAAATAATGTTATTAAGAAGTTGAGAACTAGAAAAGAGCATACTGCAGCTCTCCCTCGTGACACTCCCAAATCCCTTCCGACCTCAGCAATTTGATCTCCTCCTAAATGAATTTTTTTATGAGCTTCATTATAAATAAAGAAACTTGGCCTTTGATTAACATATTATTTAACAGAGCTCTCTTTGATATAGTGAACATGTTTTGATTTGGACTAAATGTTGTACATGGTAAGTTATTTAATTACCACTGTTGTTTTTGTGGAGGTTTTTAAGGCTGGATTTATCTGGTATTTTCATCTATTCTCAACATTTTAATTTCCGCATGTAATAGATTATAGCAACTTTTAAGTCAGAGATTCTTAAACAAAAAGCTTAAGTGAGCAACAAGACATTTCCCTTCTTATTTAAGTAGCATTTCAACACAATTCCTAAAAACTATGCCAATCTAGAGAAACAGGCAATACTAACACATAAACTTTTGGCCATTCTGTTGGCAAGCTTAAATCTATAGAGTCACGATGATTTACATCTGGATTCGCATCAGCTGGAAAACTAGATTCAGGATAACAGCATCTAGGAAAGTCAATGATGTGGAAATATTTTTTTGGCTTTGCATTGCACACTGTGGACGGGATTAATTTCTCTACCTTTGGCAGTCTCACAGTTTAAGCTAGTCTAGCCAAAACTGTTCTTTTGGATCATCTCTCAGATAAAGAGACA